AGAATGGAATTTTTGCCCAGTATTCAATGCCTGGTGAACCTCAACAAAATGGCGTGGCTGAACGCCGAAACCGCACACTTATGGACATGGTGCGAAGCATGCTCAATCATGCAAGTTTAGCAGTCAGCAAATGGATGGAGGCATTAAAGACGACCGCACATGTGCTAAATCTCGCTCCTACTAAAGCAGCACCGAACACACCTTACGAGATGTGGACGGGAAAGAAACCGAGCTTGAATTACTTACGTGTATGGGGTTGTCCTGCTGAGGCTAGAATTTTCAATCCACAACTTAAGAAATTAGATCCAAAGACAGTTAGTTGTTTCTTCATTGGATACCCTCATAGGGGAAAGGGATATCGTTTCTATTGTCCGAGTCACACCACCAAGTATGTGGAGACTCGACAAGCAGTATTTTTTGAGGATAACGAAGCCACCGAAATAAGGGAGATCAAACTTGAGGAGAGACGGGTGTGTGTTCCATCCCCGACTATCCAAGAGATTGTTTTGCCACTACAAAGTGTAGTGACGTCTCAAGCTAATCCTCAATCTAGTACTTCAGGTCCTGAGGCTGATGGTGATCCTGGGACTAATGTCAATCTAGAAGGTGAAGAGGATCACCAGTCGCATAATGAAGATGACCCTCAGAACAATGATGCTCCTCCACCACCTCCTCCTGTGGGCAGGCCACATCGTGAGAGAAAGAAAGCCATATCAGATGATTATATCACATACTTGCTTGAGGATATGAATGATCTGGGAAAGGTGGAGGATCCAACCTCTTATAAGGAAGCCATTAAAAGCGAAAATTCGTCCAAGTGGTTGGTTGCCATGGAAGACGAGTTGAAGTCTATGGGCTCAAACGACGTTTGGCACTTAGTAGAAGTTCCCGATGGAGCTAAGAAAGTAGGCTGCAAGTGGGTCTACAAAACCAAGTATGATTCCAAAGGGAATGTCAAACGGTTCAAGGCAAGGCTAGTGGCAAAAGGGTATACACAGAGAGAAGGCATTGATTATAAGCAAACCTTCTCTCCTGTGTCAACCAAGGATTCTTTTAGAATCATAATGGCATTAGTAGCTCATTACGACCTAGAACTACACTAAATGGATGTTAAAACGGCATTTCTAAATGGTGACTTAAAAGAAAACGTTTACATGGCTCAGCCAGAAGGCTTTGTTGTGGAAGGGGAGGAACATTTAGCATGTGGTCTAAAGAAATCAATTTATGGCTTGAAGCAAGCTTCAAGAGAGTGGTACCTCAAGTTTGATAATATTATCAAAACTTTTGGTTTCACCAAAAATGTTGTGGACAACTGCATATACGTTAAGTTTAAAGGCAGTAGGTTCACATTTTTAGTCCTATACGTTGATGACATATTATTGGCATGTAGCGATAAGGATATGCTGCATGAGACCAAGAATTTTCTGTCATCCAGTTTCGATATGAAAGATCTTGGTGAAGCCTCGTATGTCCTCGGCATCGAGATTCATCGAGATAGGTCTAGAGGAACGTTAGGACTATCTCAAAAGGCATACTTTGAGAGAGTACTGAAAAAAATTCAATATGCATAAGTGCTCACCCACCTGCTTCTATAGTTAAGGGCGATAAGTTTGGGACATTTCAATGTCCGAGGAACCAATGTGAAACTGATCAGATGAAGTCGGTTCCTTATGCTTCAACTGTTGGAAGCATCATGTATGCTCAAGTGTGTACATGCCTAGACTTATATTTTGTAACCGGGGTGCTTGGCAGATACCAATCAAATCCAGGACCGGACCACTGGAAGGCCGCAAAGAAAGTCTTGCGTTATATGCAAGGAACTAAGGATTTCATGCTTACATATAAAAGAACTGATAACCTAGAAATTGTTGGTTATTCAGACTCTGATTTTGCCGGGTGTGTGGATAGTATGAGATCCACGTCAGGTTATATATTCACACTCGCGGGAGGAGCTATATCGTGGAAAAGCTCCAAACAAACGTTGACTGCTGGATCTACGATGCAAGCAGAATTTGTGGCATGTTATGAGGCCACCGGGTAGGCTGTATGGCTAAAGAATTTTATTCCCGGACTTAAAGTGGTTGACAGCATATCTAAATCAATTTTATTGTACTGCGATAATGAACCAGCAGTTTTCTATACGAGTAACAACAAGTCAAGTAATGTTGCCAAACACATTGACATAAAGTATCGTGTTGTGAAAGATAGAATCCAGGATCAAACAGTTGATGTTAAACATATAAGGACGAAGCATATGCTTGCGGATCCGCTAACAAAAGGCTTACCACCCAGTATTTTTCGTGAGTATGTTGCCGGCATGGGACTACTGGAAGCCTGATGATTCTGGAATAAGAGGACCATTAAAATAAACCACTCCCCAATTAGCAAAATGTTTTCCATTTCGAAATAGGCGAGTGTGCTATAAGTGTTGAGGTTCTATGGCGTTTCAAGCTGTTGTAACAACACCTCACTTTGGTACATCATTCCTATGTAGAATGGACGAATGAAGTTAAGCCTAACGATCAAGGGGGAGAATGTTGGTTTTTATCTGACGGCTTAAACAAGCCAAATTAGATCTATTAGTCTAACAGAAAAAATGAAGGGATAACGATAAGTGAAGGGGTCCACGTACCAACGTACGTGAATCTCGATCAGAACTAATGCGCCCTGATGGGGGGCGCCCAAAAACCAACTCAGGTTTTGGGTCCTCTATCGCCAGCGCCATATAAAAGGATACGAGATAGAGCTGGCCACCTACGCGAACACAATTCACGTACGGTTTTTCTCTCCTCCCGATATTCTCACCCCATCCGATCAGGGAGAGCGCTGCAGCGACGGGAAGACCTAAGCCAGCCGCCGCCGTCCCCGGCCAATCCCCGTGGCGTCCTGAAGGAATCAGGACGTCGAGGAGAACCTCTGCTTCGACTACATCACCCCTGCATCACGCCTGCACCGAGCAGGCGATCATGTCCACTCCCGTGACATGTAAAGAAACTCTAAACTCTTCTTTGTTCATGTTCTGAGGTGATCTAGATGCAATTAAATTCTGCTAATGGCATCTCATAGATGCATAATTACTCCAACGACAAGTATTGTTGGACTTATATGGCACGGTTTTTAAAGCACCTCTGGCCATGGCTCGCTGGAAATCGGTGGCTTCCAGCGAGCCAGGCACGAGCGATGCGAGGCCGCGCATGTTGGTGGCTCGCTAGGAACAGGTCACCAGCTAATCACCTTCTTATCCATCTGCATAGGGCGTTCTCGCTGTAGCCGCACGTGGCCGGCGCCTTCTTCGCGGTCGCTGCGTGCGCCGTGGCGCTCGCTGTCGTGCTGGCTGTGGCGTGCACGCGCCCGCAAGATCTCGTCCGGCCTCAACCTGGGCTGCCTCGAGCTGTTCATGCCGGTATTGGCGTTCGTGGACGCGTTTGACACGACGTCCATGCTCTCTGCGAGGCTTGTGACCGCGCCATTGCAGATCACATGGCACGTGAAGCGGTTCTTCAACAATGGGGACGAGAGGAAGCTTCGGGAATCCATGCGCCTCGTCAACGGGTTCGCCGCGGAGGTCACCAGGCAATGACACAAGCTCGGCGGCACCTTCGGCAGTGACCTCCTGTCGCGGTTCATGGGCTCTAGGCCCCCGTGCTTGCCGTGCTTGGGGATCAGAAACGCGTCATAGGATCACACAAAAAATCATGATCTTTGCCAAGGCATCTATGTTCCAAAAATGAGCAGGACACCGGGCAATTGCAAACCTAGTTTGCAACATTCCAAATGCCCTATCAATGTCCTTCCCTGCTACTTCTTACATCTTTGCAAAAATGATAATGTTTGGGCATCAGAAATTTTCTTCATAAATGTGACCAAGATGGATAGATGTCATCGGCTAGATAGTATCCTTGGCCAAATTCATAGCCATTCACCTTGTAGTTGTATCCTGGAGTAGTACCAGATGTTGCCTAACAAATATAAGAGATATTTGCAAGCATTGATGTCATTATGAGATTCAAGCAAGCCAAAGTAGCAATGCAAATCCACAAATCCTCGGAGGAAACAGCTTACAAGATAATAGTTAAATCATGTAAACACGATGAATTGCCCGTGTCATGCTACTAGGCAATTATTCCAGCTCCAATGCATAGTCAATGCTCCCAAGCATCCAAGGTAAACCTCTTACTTCACCCATTAATTGCTAAAAGCCTCTTTCGTCGGCATTGGGTGCTCACAAATACTGAGCTCCATGAACCCTAAGGCTAGTCATAGTGGGAGTAACTTAGGTAGTAACATAGCGCATTTCAAGAAAATTTTGCTTACGTGGCAAGTAGTTAATGAGAGGTGGTAACATAATATGTTACTGTAACATAGCGTTTCCCGAGACAAGATGAGTCTACAAGTTAATAAATGAAGCCATCCATGATACTACTATTATGTTACTTTGCATTATGAAGGTAGTAAATTAGACTAGTGTCATGCTACTCCCCACTATGACCAGCCTAACCGCAGCATCGATGAATACTTTTGTGCACTTTATGGTTGTATCTTTCGAAGATATCCATGTGTCATATCTGTAGGAGTGCCATATGCAATCATCCGAAGTGCCACGACCGCCTTCTGAAAAAAAAACCAGCAGACAGACGTCATCCTTCCGTTGCTTGAAGAACGGTTCATTAGATTCCATGTTATTGACAATTCGATAAAATAGCCGTTTGGACATGTCGAAGCGTCGCTGCTAATCCCCAAGTACAGAAATTTAACAATCAAATGTGAGCTCATTATATAACAACTGAATGCTAGCTCATTATATATTCCCCATCGAAACAAAGTTGTGAAACACCATTTATTACACACACACATGTAAGGAAACATTTGTGTCAAACAGTCTGTTGAGACGACATTATATGGGCAAAAAATTAAACACGAGTACTGTTACAATTTGTACATTTAATAATTGAATCCAATATAAACATGCCCGGTTGAATGATGCACTTGGGATCAAGCAATCAATAGTTGGCCGTGGAGCACTTGAGCCTCACCTCCACGGGCATTCCCATGGGCGGAGGCACGTTTCCCATCTTCACCATGGTCTTGGCAAAGTCCCTCGCGAACGCCTCACCGTCGGCGCTGTACATCTCCACGAGATTGTCCTGCGGACCTCCACCACCGTAGAGAGTCTGGTAGGAGGTGAGGAGACCGCGCCGCGCGATAAGGTTGCGGTAGTAAGGGCATCCACAGTGCTTAGAGGCTGGCTTGCCTCTAAGCTGGGCCCCATGTCCTGTAGTAAAACTTGGCTCAAAAGTGCGTAGTGTGTAGCACATATTCTCAGCCTCTAAGATGTTCCCACATAGAGTAAAATATTTGATTCTTCAACCGGTTGTGTCTCATCTCTTTGCATGGCCATCACTCTTTCTATCCATGACATGCGGGGTTAGCTGATTATTTTAGTCCAAAGCAAGAACTAGAGGCAGCCTCCAAGCTTGACGACGATGCCAAGGATTTTGGCTTAGAGGCGCATGCCCACAGTGTATAGCGCCTGCCTCTAAAGGCTTAGAGGCAACAAAACACAACATTGTGGATGCTCTAAGCGTTGTCGAACCTCATTGGAGTCTGCATGTCAAACGGCGCCTTACCAGAAGGACCCTGGCACGACTGCTTCATGGTCTGTGCAAAGTATGGGTCGATCTCCTCATCGCGGTCGGCGCCGTAGACGCGGTCGCTGTAGTGCATGCAGTCGGCCATCCCGACGGTGTCGGCACCGGAGAGCGCGGTCATGTCACGCGCGTCGAGGTTGAGCCTTGAAAACATGGCGACGAGCTCGCCGAGGTTGTCGTGCGGGCTCGGGAGGCCCTTCTTGGTGGACTCCGGGTTGGCGGCGAAGCGTGAGTCTTTGCGGCTGAGGGGCACACTCCAGGTGGGACCTCCGAGCAGGGCGACGGCGTCGCGGGACGCCAGGGCGATAACATCAGCGCAGGAGACGGTTGCCGGGCAGTCGTGCTCGAGCGCGGACTTGATGTCGTCGATGACGGTATAGCCGGTGAGGGAGGCGTTCGGCTTCACATCCTTCTCGCTGGGGGAGAAGGGAGTTGCGTCCAGGAGAACAGAAGCATCACATCCCTGTCACGCCATATGCCCATATATGGATCGTAGCATTAGCAAATGGAACCATAGTGTAGGTAAGAATATACATAGCAGAAGTAGAGATGCTTATATACGTTGATGAAGCAGTCGTGGAAGAAGAGGCGGAGGACGGCGGGCGCCATCCTTGGCTGGGCGGCGACGCTGCTCGCCATCACTGACCGCACGACGTGCTGCACGTTGGGGCACGTCTTCTCATAGTAACTCGCGGAGAGCTCGTCGCCATTGGCGGTGGCAGCCAGAGTGATGAAGAGGAGCAGCGCAAGCGTAACCCAAGAAGCGCTCCCGTAGGACGCCATGCCTATAGGTTGGCTGGTGTTGAGAGCGATCGGTGCACAGCGCAGCAGAAGCAAGCAAGAAGAGAGTGTGGAGAAGATGAATGGAAGCATATGCTTATATAGACTTCGACTTGTGTCGCCTTCTTCCTGCGCGCGCACGGTTGCATCCATGCTTCTAATTTACCCGCGTATGCATGTGCGAACGCTCTGCAATGTTAATTAGCTCGAGTGACAAGGTCTCCGGTCTGTCTGCCTCCTCGTGCATCTTGGAGAGGTCAGGAGGACCGGAAGAAGAGAAAAGAAAAGCCAAGGGAATTGACAGGCTAACTAATACACCTACCTAACTTGAATTTACACAAAATTATGATGCTCCCGTCGACATGGTTGCTTTGCTTGCTTGGATGGTGCCGGATCCAATCGCTCACTGGAATGAAAGGGTACGGTGTTAGGAAACGGGCTGGGACAAACCGTTGAAATGCTATGGAATCGCAAACACCCTTGTTGTCCACTTGGACGAATTAGTAGTCGATTTTTGCACGGTTTGATAAAAAAACATCATTTAAAGTTTTAAACACACCCTTGCTGGAACTGGAAAGCCCGAGAACCAAAGAATTTGCAAAACTGATCGTCTTGAGTAGTACGGAGTATTTCTTTGCGCTGATTCAGAATTTGAGTTCAGCTACAGAAAAAGAACTACACGTCCATACCATATTTGTTGAAAACACTGTTTGACTTTGTCATAATTCCATTTTATGTCTAACTTATGGTTTCATATGCATGCATGACCCTCAAGTCTCAACTTAGCGTGTTGACGGCATCGGTTGGAGCAGATTCATGCACTTGATAATCAAATTATCGTCATTGATGGCTCTAGCGATAATACTATATATAGTAATGTACAGGGTCAGGTTTGTCATACAGCACTACTGGAATCTGATTTTCTGCTGAGTTAGTTTTATCGGCAACTCAGCAAAGTTTGCATCTGCTGAGTTTGATTCAAAATTGGATTTGGCAGTGATAAGAAACCTGACAAACTTCACATTTTCTGCTAGTTCCAACGAAAAAGGACTCGGCAAACACAATAAACTTGGAAGAATCTCAAGTTCGCCAAGTTGCCGACAGAAACAACCCAACAAAGTCTGGCAGGTGGGCCCCACGGTTAAGCAGACAACGGAGCCGTAACCTGAGTCTATATTTGCCGAGTTTCAGCTAACGGAAACCCTGAAGAATTGTTATTCTTCACCCCTCTATTTTTATATCACTGCATCATATTTTTTACGCCTCGTAATTTTTTTTAATGTCAGAAGTCAAATGAGAATGCAAGAAACATATATCAGTCATAGAAAATATTTTACGTTATGTAAGAATACAAACATAAAATTATAGCATGAAATTTACATAAAAATCTAACTTTATTGTATTATGACTTTTATTTTTGTTTTCTTATGACAAATTTTGCACAATGAATCAATACGAACATAACTGTTTGTATACCAAATATAAATTCTTGATGAAATGATGTAAGAAACCTTAGATGCAAAATAATTTATGCTGCACCCTGGGCGATGAATAGCATTGCTAAATGTACTTATTGATATATTGTAACTAGTTAGGTTGGTTGCACATTTCCACGCACGCCACCTATGCATTATAACAAACTTGAATAGTTTTAACACAAAAAATGATAATCCAAAATGCCAAATGTAATACATATGTGTTTCATCTGTCGCAACGTAGTAGAGGTCAAATTACATTTTTACATCTGGACGTAGTTGCCATATCCGCAGGCTCGAAACGCATTTGGAGCACACCATAAATTTCAAAAGGTTGTGTAGGCGGCGTTATAAACGGAGTCACCAAAACAGCAGGCTCCATTATTTTATTCATGTTTTTTCTATCTAGTCTACTAGTTCAATTTGGCATCGACATTAAACAATTCAGCAATATTATTATAAACCACTTATCTAAATACATAAATAATCAGAATGCAACAAACATTCCAATGAATCAAATTGTCCAAATAAACAACAACGAATTAAAGACATGTAAACACACTATCGCCCATGCAGCTATCATTGATGCTCAAAGATCTTCACGCAACTAATCATGGGAGGCCCGGTCTTCGTTCTTCTGTCACACCTCGAAGCATGTTTGAATGTGTATTGTGTGTCTATGAGGCTTGATAGGTATGCTAACATTGTCATATTCTCTGGCCATCTGTTTATCTCTGTCATCTGCAATGACCATGTCATGTAGGACGATACAAAAAGTCATGATCTTTGCCAATGTATCTCTGTCCGAGGAATGACCAGGACACTAGACAATTGCAAATCTAGCTTGCAACATTCCAAATGCCCCCTTGCTGCTTCTTACATCTTTGAAAAATATTTATGTTTGGGGATTTGTCTTCATAAATATTGATTAGGTGGATGGATACCATTGGTTAGATAGTATCCTTGGTCATAATCATGGTCATTCACCTTATACTTGTATCCTGGAGTAGTGCCACATGCTATCCTAATAAACAAATGATATCTCTTTTGTTTAGAGAAAAGGCTCAAGCCGAGCACTACTTTGAAAACCATCAACCAGCCAGGAGTACAAATGTCATAAGAATACAAATAAGTCACAAAAAACAAGAAAAAAGCAGCAGAACACAAGGCTAAACATGACTGTTTAAAGGCAATGGTAGCTGCAAGGACAAACTAGCACCGCCGAGGATATCTCCCTACACTAGGACCTACACAAGAGGGAAAGCTAAAGTTTTGAGGGAATGTAGCCCCAAGGATGCATTGTTCCCTTGTCCGACCTCGAGAGAACAACATAGCTTGAAACTATGTGTCTTTGCCGTTGCAGAGGGCCACAACCCTCTCGTCCTGGCTCAAAGAATGCCGCACCATCGACAGGCAAAGCCAATCACCCTAGACCCCACATGTACCAGGAAACCAGGGCTGCCAAGGAGAGGAGCAAACTCATACCAGCAAGCTCACTAACACTGCCATTGGCTCAACCACAATGCAGATCGAAAGTAGCTAGACATAGGAACAAGTTAACAAGATACAACCCACATAGAAGACATCACCAACGCTGGGCATGAGCAAAATTCGTTGGAGCACAAGGCTCACACCAAATAGATTACCACCACTGCCTTAGAGGGAACCTCGACCCCCTCTCAGCCAGGCTCAAGGGTGTGGACCACCAGCGGCACCACCAGCGCCCCTTCGCTACTACATCCGGAGAGTGCTGAAGAATAGGAAACAAAGATGCCAATCGTTGACACCAGAGCCATCATTGCTCACCAAACTCAACTACTATCCTGGCTGGGACGACGTCTCCAAGAAGGAACACGACACCGCAGCGCCGCCGCCCCCCAAGAGAGGGGACCAAGGTTTTCAACACTAAGCAGAGGGAAGCTTGAAGGCAAGGGAAACCTCACTGAAGCCTCCATGGAGGATCAATGCTAAAGGCATCGACATCAGTGTGACTGCCATGCCGACCAAGGAATAACTTCGGTTCTCACTCACACCCATGAGCTCCACCCCATCTGAGCCCAAGGCCATCCATGGAAGACTGCCGACCACTAGAAACAGAGGGGAGCGAGCAGATCTAGTGATCTAAAACGGATGTTCTTGACAGGGCACTGACAAAGCCCGCGGAAGACTCCCGCGCCGCCCTGCTACCCGCATAGCCATGGGAGACGGCCAACCAGCACCCACTAGTAAGGCATTGATGTCAGATATGGCCATGGCCATGCCGAGCACACCAACGGGGACGTCGCCCCGACGACCGAGGTCCTCCACATGACTGGAGCGGCTATATCCCCGCTGCCACCTTCATAGGTGTCACACGCCTGAGTCGGGGAGCACCTCGGATGGCGGCGGAGGGCAGGGAGGAGGGAGAAGGGGGTGGCGGTGCTAGGGTTGGGTACCCCTGAGTAGCCTTAGAGAGAAGATGCGAGATTCACATGGCGGGGTTTGAATGTTTAGAACATACGAGATCTCTGCAAGGCATTGATGTCATTGTGGGATTCACGCAATGCCAAATCCATAAATCCTCAAAGGACCGCTTACAAGATAATAGTTGGATCATGGTAATGCCGGGTGAATTGGTCGTGCCATGCCACTGGGCAATTATTCTATTTGCAATGCATACAATCAATGCTTCCAAGGGTCATCCTCTTACTTCACTAATTGCTAAAAGCCTATGTCATCGGCATTGGTGCTCAGAAATACTGAGCTCCGTGAACCCTAACCACAACATTGGTGAACATTTTTTGGCATTTTATGGTTGTATCTTCGGCCATTCAAAGATACCCATCTGCAATATTTGCACGAGTGCCATATGCAATCACCCTAAGTATGGTCACAGTTACCTTCCGGAAAAAAAAAGTAG